GGAAGGTACTTCTCCCACACCAGTGACGGCCACATCTTCTTCCCACAGACAGCCAGTGGACTGGAACTGCCAGTCTTCTGCTTGGCAGATGAACACTTAACCACTGTGCTACCAACCAGGGCTCCGTTTACGTCTTCCAGTGGCCTCCTGTTTAACCTACCAGTTGACACATGCCGACTGTGTGCCCCGGCATGTTATACTGTCCTTTCCTATCATTTGTAGGGTTCCCCACTAAACTAAAAGCTCTCTGTATGGAGGATTTTGCTTTTGTGGCCTATTATATTCCAACACCAGCCCAATGATTAGCAAACATGAGTGTGCTACAGATCTTCGTTGAATCAATTTATCAACTAATCACATAGCTTTCAGTCCAAAGGTAAACAAAGTCTATCACAGATTTATGAAATAGAAAAAAAAAGAAATGATCTTACTTACTAGAAAGCCTCTTTCTTCAACACTTGAATTCACTTGACACTTTATTCTTAAATAAATATGGCCTTCCAAAGAAGATAAAAAAGGTACCTGCAAAGAAAGGGGGTATATTACTTGCCAGTTTGACTTTTTGCTAATAAACCAGAAAGAGAGTATACAGGCACCCTACACTTTTCCAAAGTTCACTTTTCTGAAAGGTCTACACTAGTGATTGTTTGCACTGGCCTAAAGAAAGTGGAAGAATGTCGTTTGTATGAAGAAAGCAAAACAAAGCTAGCGTTCAGCATGTTTGGCAGCAGCCACGAAGAGGCAGCACAGCCCAAGCTCCGTCCCTAGGCACTTGATGCAGCATCGCAGCAGCAAGCCGCCATAGCTCGGGCCTGTCTGTGAGCACTCTGTGCTCGGGGGAGCTCAGGGGTCTATCTGTATTTGGTAGGTGATTTTTTTTTGGATCCGCATCAAATCCCATAAAAATGGATGGTAACTGCTCCTCACTTTACGCCATTTCCCCTTAGGAAAGGTGTCAGAGGAACACTCTACTTCCGGATAGTGGAGGGTACCTGTCTACAACTTGAAATCTTCAGTCTTTTCCGAAGCTGAGAGTAGACCCATACCAAATCAAATTCACTGCCATCGAGTCAATGCCAACTCAGAGTGACACTGCAGGTCAGGGTGGACCTGCCCCAGTGAGTTTCTGATACTGTAATTCTTGACGGGAATAAAAAGCCCTGTCACATTCTCTCCTGGCACAGCTAGTGGTTTCGAACAACTGACTGTGCGGTCAGCAGTCCAACACATAAGCACTATCCCACCAGAGCTCCTAAGAGAACAGTGGCCCAAAAAACATGGTCCCTTAGGAACAAATACTTCTAGAGGATAAATTCATTTAAGGTATATTTTGAAAAAACAAAAGTTCTCAGATCCAAATTAACGTGAAAAAGTAAACATAATTTTAAGATGAAAATACATATGTTTATGCATTCTCCACCAAGTAAAAATTCCTATTGTATACATAAGAAGTATTCATACTTCATCTGCAGAAGAATGTATCAACTGGTATATTTATACAATATCATTCAAAATTTTTAAAGTGATGAATTACTGAGACAAAAACAACTTAGATGAATCTCAGAAATATGTTGAGAGAAAAAACGCTAGCCTCAAACATGTACATATTCTTCCTGACTATTGCCAGGAGATACTCTTCAAACGTTAACCTAAACCAACCTGCCCTGTTGTCACCCTCTCCCTCCCCTTATCACCACTCCCAGGCAACCAGTGTTCTGCCTCATGCTACAGCTGGTTTTCACTGCATGTAGCTTTTGCTACAAATTAAAAACAAGAGAAGGAACCCAAATATATGAGAAATTTAGCAAACATTATGGGGGATGGTGGGCTTCAGAGCATTTGGGAAAAACGGAATGAAAAGACAATGAAACTTTTATAAAAACTTTTTGAAGCTCCCCCAACCCCC